ACTTCGCCTGCGATCACGACCGGGGCTTCCCATAACAAGCCTTCTATGACCACCCTTTGTCTCTTGTGAAGAGTGTCCAATGCAATCTTGTTCAACATCTCCCAAACGGGCTCCTTCCGACCGGGAGACTCTGGTGCCTCCCTCCTTGCCGGGCGTCGCAAAACGCCCCCCCGAATCCGCATAGGGTCCACCGCGGGCCTCCGACGTGGCGGCATGGATGCTACCAATAACCACGTTCGTATTCACGCCACAGGCGGAAATTGGCGTTCCGCTCGTCTTTCTTCTTTCCCTTGTTGGGTGGAGGGTCACCGTAACCTTGGACTTGGCCCTGACGTTGGTGGCTTCCCAGCTGGAATAACCTGGGGGTGGATGATCCGGTTCTCTTGGGGTTGGTCGAACCGGAGGTGGTTTGGGCGGCGGTGGCACGGCCCGTTTCTGGGCGTTGGTAAGGCCTGAGGCACGGGATGGCACTGGTGCCCAGGGGGCTCGGAGCACGGGACTCCGGCTTTGGGACTTGGCCCTTGGCTTTGGCTCCTTCCTCTCACGGCCTGACTCCTTCGGGGGTGAATGGTCTCCACCTCCGTCTTGCTGGGGGCTTGTTGGTCTACTGGACCTTCTTCGGGCTCTGCGTTGGCGACTGCGGGAGCGACGTTCTGCTCCCTCTGAGGCCCTAGCTTCCTTGTCTCTGCGATCTCGACGACGGCGATCTCGGGATTTTGACTCTTTCCGGCGACTCCTCTTCTCCTTCTTTCCGGTGACAGGAGATTTGTCTTTGGTCTCGGTGTCCTCCTTCTCGATCTCGGTGTCCTTCAAGTCAGTCTCTCGCAATGCACTCTCAACGACCTCCTCGGCCTTCTTCTCAACGACAGGACTGCTCCCACTCTCCTCTGCGGTGTCCACGACGGGAGCAAATCCCTCCTCCGGCTTGGGCTGTTCCTGGTTGTTGTTGAGCTCGGTCTTTACCTTCTGGCTGGTAGTTTTGTCTCCCTCACCCGGGAGAGCAGATCCGCTTTCAACGGGAGGAACAGAGGTGGCAGCCCCTGTATCCGCAACGTCCAAGAGTTGCGAGTAAACCTCCCTCAAAAGTGTCACGCCCCTCCTCTGGACCGCACCTGAGCAGTCCGGAGCGTAGAGCAGCCCAACGACCCTACGGACGGTTAAGCAGAGCGCGCAGTTGCACGACTCCCACTCATGCACCATCCGCTGAGCCGAGAGGCTGCGGAATTCAAACCGACGGGTGGTTCTTCCTTAAATTCGGGGCGAAAGTCATATAAGCAGGTTCTCAGTTTTGCACCAACTATATAAGGAATTTATATTTTGTTTGGTCTTCTGGGGCTGAGTGCAATTTCGCTGTTGCAGTTCATGTCCCCTTGAACTAGCAAAGCATTACAAATTAGATAGGGAAATTGCTCAAACTTGCACGCCAACGCATGTATGCACCATTGAATTCCTTTACATAAATACCAATATACATTGACCTGAGGCAACATGATAGCACACGCATCACCAAGTCCATATCCAGAAGACTTCAGAAGTCAAATATCCTGCGTAACTGCAAGCTGACACAACTGGGACTCCAACCTTAACTAACTCTGGCAGTTTCTTTGCCAAGACCTTCACGCAGCTTGGCTGTCCAAAACGGGCTGCCAGGTGCATGGCCGTGTGACCATCCCGGCCTTGGAATGAGTGACTTGCGGCATTGCCTAGCAACCTAGCCGACTTAGCATAGCTGGCCTAATGCAAGGGAACCCAAGTGTCAAAACAGTGAGTAACAGGAAGCTACTAGGAACAAAGGGCATCGCTACTAGGGGCAAGGACGTACTAGGGGCTCCTGGCCTTACTACTAGTAACAAGGACGCTAGTGTGCGTTCCCCTGGCCACTAGTACTTTCAAAGACCTCCTAGTAGCGTCCTTGCTCTGTTCGTAGCGATGCCCTTTGTTATTAGTAGCTTCTTGTTACTAGTAGTAAGGCCAGGAGCGCCCCTAGTAGCGTCCTTGCTACTAGCAGCTTCAAAGACATATGCAAAATACGTTCGTCTGAGGACCGCTCTTGCAAGCGGGTTATTGCTAGGTTTCGGTGTGCGGAGCAACGGAGCTACCAAAACAACTTCGTTTCACATGCACATTGGCTCAGTTGAGGCAAGCAGCTTTGGCTTGTCATCAGCTGCTTGGCCATGTGCGTCCGCAGCCTTGGTGTGCCCCGGAAACGAGCATAGGGTTGTCCTGGTCCCACGCAACTCTTTCATGACACACTCCATCAAGCTTTGAGTGTAGAATATTGAACAGCAATGGAGTTGAGCCTCGCTTTTGCCCTCCCACCTCGTGCCTCCCCAACAACTTGCTTGATCTGCTTGCTTCACATCTTGACTGTCCAACTGGGTTGCCCAACAGGACGGTCAAGCACCTTCTGTGTCCATTGACACTAGCCAGGTGCAGTGCAGTTCGCCCGGTGTCAGTGACGGCACCTATAAACCTGAGGGCAAGACTTGTTCTGATCCAGTGCCTCCAACATCTAAATTACTGTAAGGTATCGCTGGTACTACAATGAAATTACACATAATTGGAGCAAATAAACATGAAGGCTCAGTTTTTGTCGAAAACAGATTGACCTCAAACATTCTCAAGCACGCTTCGTCCGTGAAAGCTGGTGGTGGGAAACTATGAAACTGGTGGCGAACATCTGCCAAGAAACTCAGCTGCCTGGCCAGCAGCTGACATGAGCACCCGACAGCACTCGGCCTCACAGCAAACAACTCAAACAATGACCAGCCGGCAGTCCTCATCTTTCTCACATTCAGAACAATATCCAAAATGATCTGTATATATAGTAATATCCAACGTGAACCAACAAGTTGGTGTTCTTGCTCCAGACCAGCCACATGTCCGTTGTGAGCTGCGTAGTGAAGTGCTGTCCAGCCAATCTTGTAGGTCCTTGCACTGAGAAGCTCCAATGAGACCTGGCAAGGCACGTCCATCCTACTTAGACCATGTCCTGCCTGGGCCTTACCGCTTTGACCTGCCTCTCTCGGAATCTGTCGCATGCCTAGCAGTTCCTCAAGTGAGGACTGATGTCCTGAGGACAAAACATGCTTGAAGGGGGAATGCCTCCGCAAATTGCAAACAATACGCCAAAGCCATGCTGTGGGCTGCAAGTATCAGAGAGTTTCTTTCGGGTGGACTGCTTTATGTGTCTGATGTCTTCAAACTCTTCAATTCTTGTCCTTCTGCTGCGGCGCAGTGTAGGGCTGTTTGGCCTCATCGCCCAAGCAAAGATCGAAAATCGATTTATCAAGTTCCTACACCCAACTTGCATCCGATCCGATGCGCCTCACAGATCTTCCGTTGCGCCTCACAGCCCTTCGGATCTGAGACCCGGGTACTGGAGGTTTGTATGTCTCCCAAAATCTGCACACAAACCTCTCTCGACTGGTGGGTGTCTCAACGTACAGTAAGTGCTTCACCTGCACGATCCTTCTCCACCAAGAGCTCTGGCATCACACGTAGCAGCTCTTTGATGCAATACGCCCTGAGACGCTGCCGAGGTCAGAGCTTCTTCAGCCGACTGGTCTGACACGTCTGCCAACTGGCCTTCCCAGGAATGCTGCTTCATGCAAGGCGGTTTGGCTTCGCTTGCCACGATACCTAGGGCTAATCCGCCGACTCCAGCCCAGGTGGGGGAGCGGGCCAGGATATTATTCGAACCCAAAATTGTCAAGATACTCTCTGACGACAACTAGTCTGGATGCGGTCGGGACTGCAACACATTTCCAACGTCCCAGCTTATTACTTTTTGTCATGCTTGGATCTTGGTCTCTCTATCCCAAGTTACGAGGGATCAGCTCCCTTTTCGAGCAAGCGATCCAGATCCGACTTCTGATCGTCCTCAATCAAGTAACGAATCGTGAGAAACATATCTGCATTTTTGTGCCTGTGACGTTTGATCTGCGATGATGCTAGCAATTGGCAAGCTGAAGCCCCCCCCAAAAAAAAGGACATTGCTCAAGCATCCCGAGAGAAAAAGCACAACAAGCGGAGGGTGCTCCTGCAAAACCAAACCACTTTTGGGACCTGTCCTCATTATGCTACTCTATGAGCGGTTCTCTCTGCTCATTCGTGGTAGAAGATGTTGGCTATTCACCAGGGTCATTCCATTTGTCCAGCGTCGTGCATTGCAGGAAGCCGGTCCTTGACGGCAAGCAACAATGCCTCTCCAAGATCTACTCTGGCCTCAGCGTAAGCTGGTGAAACACTTCAACCCCGAACGTGGGGCTTCTCTGCCCGGGATAAAGGTGCAGGTCACCTCCCTGTCACCTAAAATTGACCGAAACATGACATTGCACGTACTACCTCACTGTATATCACAAGCTCTGACCTTCCTGCAGCCATGCATCATCGCTCTTGGGTATGACATCCACCATGCCAACCTCCTACAGCAAGGTTTGGAGGTAGAGGCGGGGCTGCTTATATAACACAAACTGCATTGACGTTGTATCCTGCCTCCGGCTTCCCGAAGGCGCGACCAGGTGTCAGCAAGGTGACTTAAAATGTCTCTATGAAAGTGATGTTCTTGCACGGTTTTCTGAGGTGGATGCAGTATGGGCAAGCCTAGAAGTGATGTTCATGCTCCAAGCCAAAAAATATCCGTCTTCTTGGTTCACTTGGCTAGGGTCTAGGGACTTCTAAGGACCGCGATCAAAAGTGTGCCACCTTCAGGCCATACATCTGTGAAACATGCTTTTTCTAACCCTAGCTTGTAGCACGAGGCGCGGGGTGCATGCGACAGTTCAACATGCAACTGCAAAGGACAAGCATTAATCACCAGCGATAGTCTAAATACCACTCCAAGCTTGAAGAGATGTGGGAGGACATTCCTCCATTTAGCCTTTCTGCAGGTCTGGGGCTGAAGTGGAGCTGAAGCATGCATGTCCTTTCTGCCCCAATGCAAAAAGGGCTTGTATACCCCATGGCCGGACTGTGCTTCTTGGCTTCGTGCCCCGCACCTGAAGCCTCAAGTTCGTCGTAGGGGAGCTCATTCGCAGCAGCTTCGCCTCGCTAGCTCAGCTAGCGAACCACGCACCTCTCCCCATCAAAAAAAGGAAGGTGGATGAAGGTGGCTAACTCAACCAACCCTCTTTTCAACTTAGATCTACTTCGGCCTACTGAAGCAAAACAGGGTTCAAGAATGGAGTCAGATTTGAACCCCAGCTTGATATATAGATGTTTACATTAGATGAGACCACGGCATAACGGTGTCCCGTAATTGAACTAGAACAGCTACCTGCTGTGCCTTTTTTTGCCATGAACAGCTGACCGACTGGGACTGGCTCAAATCCTCACGACCAGTGTAGCTGTGGGTCTGGACGAAGCCACAGTAGGAGCACCGTGGTGATCTCTGAGATGCTGATCCGATCGCTTCCTTCCAAAGAGGCTGAAAGTGATGCAAAAGCCTTTTTGCTACTGCAACAAGGCTTTTCACCCAAGCAAACGCTGCATTGCTTCCTGGTAAACTCAAACCTTCGTGGCGATTTGATGGGGCCTTCTAGGGGAGAACATGGAGAACACTTGAGGAACCGCAACAAGTGCAGTGTGGAGTGCAAGCTTGTGAATCACCCGGCTGGAACAACCTTCATAAGTCAGATGGTTACTGCAAGAAGCATCCAGTCGAAAGCTGCCACAACGCACAAGCAACACAAGCTGAGCCTGCTTGGCCCATCTGGGCTGAAAGTTTGCGCCAGAACCTTGGAACATTGGAAAACCACCGAACCAATTGCTACTCAGCAAGCGTGCAGCACCATCCTGGCAAAGATCCAACCAGGTCGCAAAAATTCATTGGTAATTGGTACCAAAGTTCTGCTCTGATGATTGGATACGCGAGCCATATAACAATTCCAAAGACGCTTGGTAGAGCCACTCATCCTAAGGCTCCAGGCTCAGGAGAGTCAGAGCTACTCTGGATGGACCTTACCTTAGCTGGTCTCAAAATATCAATGTATATAATCAAGTAGTTGTGGTGTCGCCCAATTAGGACACGAAGGCAAGGGTTTGACCGTGTAAGAGATCTGTTACCATCCGATCTCTGGCAAGTGTATTCCGCCAGCCCCAGCAAACATTATATAATCGACAATGGCAACACCAACGAGCAACAAAAAGCTCAATGAAAAGGACAACACCAAAAAGGAATGCAGGATGGCAGGACACCTTGTTGGAGGCAAGACTGTTTGCAAACTCGAAGTAAAGCAATTTGTTTTGCTCTGCCGGGCCTATGCTACGCCTGGGCCTATGCTACACGGATAACTTAATCGCACTGCGGCTCCGGGCAGCTTCCCAGAACAGTGTCATCGGAACGTTATCGTCCTTGGATGCCTTGAAGTGGAGGATGAGTGCGGTGTCTGCAAAATGAGCTAGTGACCGATTGAAATGCCTGTTTATTCATTCTCGTATCCGTAGTGCCTGGAGTTCACAAGCGTCCGTCCTCCAGAAGCTTCTGTCGGTACTTTTGTATCAGTCTCCATGGCGCTCCGAAAGGACGCAGAAGACGGATAGAGTGAGAGGGGGATGCGAACAGTCTAGATTGACACAAGTATGTGTCCTAAGTCCCCATGACATGTGATGTGTACCCCTCTCCAGCTCAATAGCTAGCTCAACTCACATCTCACATACGAAACTGCTACGCCCCCAGGCCAATTCAAAAGCACACCTTCCTTGTCAGTATGCGTCTTTTTGGAATTTTTTGGACCATGTCGCCCGCCACAGGCCTCGAAGTGATCCATCATGACATCACCTGGGGGCGAAATTCGAGGTCGGCAAAGCCTCTGTGTGTGTGTGCTAGAATATGAACACGGTTTCCGTGTGATTGTTCGACATCTGCTCCCAATTCATAGCAGCATTGGGACACTTTGTTCATCCTTTTCTCTGCCGGGTCATTGAACGAAGATCTTCCAACTCCTGAATCACCGTCCTCGGACAAGTCCTGGCAGCTTCACACATGGCAAGGACAAAGGACAAGCGTCCCCAAGCGATATATTTAAAAAAGAAAAAAACTATACATATTGTATGACCACTTGTAGCCTTTTCGATTTTTTAAACTCGTTTTCGCTTTTCAATGTTGGGAAATCAGTATACAGTCTCTTGTCGTTGCCCAGCTAACCACACACGTCCCCGCCTCCACTGCAAAAAAGTCGGTGTCTGCTATGTGTGTTTGCGCGCGTACAAATTTTTATGATTTCAATGAAAAAATGATTTTTCAAAATTTCCTTGGAACAGACTCCAAACATCAAGGAAAGCCCGGAACTAAAGGAATTAGACCAGGAAAAAATAAACTAAGAAGAAAAAATTAACTACTTTTTTGCACCTTTTTCTCTCCCTGTCTCTCTGTGTCTATTCCCTTCACCCCTTCATCCCGCCACGAAGGGGCGAACGGGTCCTTCGCCCCTGTGTCTCCGGGGCAGTCCGAGACACCGCGACGAGACCCAACCGTGGTGCACCGATGTGCACCGTGTCTGCTGATCTCCCCCCCGTAAAGGGAATAGACACAGAGAGACAGGGAGAGAAAAAGGTGCAAAAAAGTAGTTATTTTTTTCTTCTTAGTTTATTTTTCCTGGTCTAATTCCTTTAGTTCCGGGCTTTCCTTGATGTTGGAAGAGTCTTGAGGCCATTTCTTAAAATTTGGAATTTGTACATGTGGGACATTATCGTTTTTGTTACCGTTTTGTTACGTATCGTTTTGGAACCCGCAACGCTTCACCCATTTTGGTGGCCTAATGGACTCAAACACTTACTACAACATATTCTCAAGAATGATTCACATGGGTGCTGTTGACTTGTCGGCCTAACATCCACTGAATTAGAACCCATGCATGTACATGCAACTACTTGCCCATATGGATCAGCATGGATCAGCAAATGTCTACCCATGTCCCAGCGATGCTCAAGGAGCAAAAAAAAGAAATCACTCCTGAATGCTTGTATTACACGAAAACTTTGACATGAAACACTCTTGTTTAAAAAAAATGCACCTGAAATCAACAACTGGATTTGACAGCTATTTGCTTCAAGAACTGAAGGCATTTGAATGTCCAATGCTTCTATTCTCATGTACTGTATTGCACGTATTACATGAGTGTTATCGTAAAAATAAACAATAAAATAAAAAAACTATATCGTTTTACAATGAATCAGCCATGGTTTGCTAAAACGGGACCACTGCTTACTATACATTTCTCCTATATAGGTCCCGTTTTTGTTTTAACATCAAGCCCATCAAGCGTTGTAACGTAAAGGTCTACAGGCAAGAGATGACAGCCATGCGCAGGAGACGGGATCAGGGGGAGAAGGATCAAAACGCCTATATACCCCTACAATCTATGGCAGGACAAATCTTCAGAACGAACCTGGCGTCAAAAGAAGCCAGCTGCCTTGGCGTCAAAGGCATCTTACAGGGCTCCTTCCACGACCGTCGCCCCAATCACCATCGAAACAATGTGCATAGCCATCGCTTCTACGTAAGTTGGAGGCCATTGCTATTAGATGCTATTAGCATATAACTCACAAGAAAAATGCTATGTAAACCTTTGCGTGGGAAATCGCTGCCTGTTGCATCGCCTGGCTTGGGGCAGCCTCCAAGGAAGCTCTCCCCAATGGCCCGAAGGGCCTTGGAAAAGTTGATTTCCGTACGTCAGTCAAAAATGCCGCCAACGGCTCTTCCAGTCTAAGCCAATAGTACCCACATCCGGTACCAACAAGTGTCCAGTGTCCTTGTAGGCCTGCTAGGCCATGCATCCCATCTTGTTTGTCCGCTGCATTTCTTGTTATGACAAGGACGCTACTAAGGGCTCCTGGCCGTACTACTAGGAGCAAGGACGCTACTAGGGCTCCTGGCATCGCTACTGGGAGCAAGGACGCTACTAGGAGGAATGACCAATGAGCATTCTCAAGTTCGACTTGGAGCCTGGCAAAGTCAGGCCCGCCGCGGCCTCACACCGCTGGAAGTCGGATTCCACCCAACACTCCGGTGGCGTGGCACGCTTGGCCGCCGTTGGCCTCACACTGCACGGGATGTTCAATAACACGAAAACCTGAATGCAAACTACGCATGTCGGCAAGTCTAATCACTCTAATCAGCCCAAGGTCCAAACGAACTAAAAGTCCTGCAGGAGCTTGATGCTGACAAGACCTGATAGAAATCATGTACTGTGGCCAGCCAGGTCGTTCGAGTTGACTAATGGATCAAGAGCCACATGTGTTTAAAAGCCACAACGAGACTCATGAGACAACACAAATGGGCTGTCACGTGTTGCCTCTGATATGTTCAGACTCATGCCATTTATGTGCAGAACCAAATGAAATGCAAGAATCCTATAATAAAATAGGATAAGTGAAGGATTTTTGCTAGTAGTGATTGTATGGTTGGAAATATGTTGTTTACAATGCAAAGATACTTCTTAAGGGATAGAATATGTCCAACACATGGAGGGTTCATTCCAGCGGTTCAAATTACAGTCGGTCCGCTCATGTAGGAAGCTTGATGTTTATCCACTGGCGACTTGCCACTGAGCCACTGAGCTCCAAACTTGAGATGCCTCCTCCAGAGTGACCTTCGAATCAAAGTCAGGCGCTCTTTTCCATCGAACAAGCTTTCCACGGTTCTACTGTTGAGGAAGTGTGCTCGTGGCCCCGCAGAGGTGTTTTGTCGTTGCTTTGTTTGGCACCTCTCCAAGGCTTCGCCAAAAGCTGATGAAGTGAACTTCTCCTGAAGAGGAGATGAAGGAACCAGTGATCGACTCCAAAGAAACGTAGAGCCAAAGGGAGGCCAATGCTGAAAAGAGGAAGCTGTATATATATATATATATCTGTGTGTATATATATGTATATGTGTAGTCACGATGGCTAGGCTCGGATTCCTGTGCTGTATGCGATTCCGCTAGGCAGGGAAGTGAAGTCTACACACACCAGGTGACACACCATCTTGCAATTGGGTCGGTCTTGAGTCTTGATTCAAGGGCCTGCTTCACGACAACTTCGATGCAAACTCTTCTCCAAAGGCAGCAGCGATGCCTGTCAAAAACTACCCAACGCTGCTCTAAGAACCTCACGGAGCAAACCCTGGGCCAACTTCCAATCCCAACTAAGACGACTTGGAACAATTCTGATCAACCTTCTGCCCGCACCCACCAACCCAAACATCCAATTTCTCTTCTTCTGGCCTCTTTGCCCAGCAGGGGACAACTCTCACCTGCACAGTCTTGGAGAATGGGGCACACTGACGCAATGGTTTCTGCGAAGCACGTGAATAGGACCGTCATAGTCCAACGGAGCACGTGCTACTTGCTACGGCTAAAGGTGCAAATTCTTCACACTAGGGGCTCCTGGCCTTACTACTAGGAGCAAGGACGCTACTAGGGGCTCCTGGCCTTACTACTGGGAGCAAGGACGCTACTAGGGGCTCCTGGCATCGCTACTAGGAGCAAGAAGCTACTAGTAACAAAGGGCACCCACTCTACCAAAAGAACAATCTCTTGAGCCCCAGGCTGAGCGCACGCAAGGTTTCCTGCGAAATAATTGAGCCAACTGCCACAGGAGTCCAACCAGCTAGCCAGCCAAACCAAGTAACAGTGTCACAGTCCTGGACCCGGTCGCCCCGCAAATTTGGCAGGCTGGCAAGCGGGCCGACTTATGATCAACATCATTCTGAGAGCTCAAAAAAGGGGTGCCAAACTGAACTTTTGGCCCACAATAGGACGCGTGATTCAAAGCGCCCCTATAATATATAGCCCTGGCCCTATCCTGAAAGGTGTGCTTGACTCATGTTAACTCTTTTCCTGCCTTGCTGTGAACTCTCTGTGTGGCCTTGGAGGGCCAGGGTCATGCGGTATCCCTACCCTCACCCTGAACAAGGCACGAGCCAAGAATAAACCTTTGTTTGAACCAGGTGTGCCCCGGCTGGGAGGCAAAGTCCATGCAAGATTGAGTATTGAACAAATGCAGCGCCACCTAGGGACCTAGTGAGCGGGTCAGTTGAGTGAGCAGCGCTGCAAGTGGGCTCTCTGACAACAAAGCCCAAGCCTGCCAGCATATTCCAAACAAGCACTACGCCAAAAGAAACTACGCGGAGTATGCCCTTATAAAACTTGTACATGTATATGCATGTGTCCAGGCATACAGGAGTTGAGATGTTTTGGCGCATACCCATGCCTCCAGGGCAACCTCTGCCGGGTGCATGGCGATCTCAACTGCACCTGTCACTCTTCAATCTGCAAGCATGTGGAAGCATTCCAACCCACGCATTGGGACGTGGACAATCTCAACTCAGGCGAGTAGAATAACAAAACGCTTACAGCAGTTCGTCTTGCAGGAATCACCACAAGAAGTTCAAGTGGTGTGGCAGAATGGCTAGAAAGATCGGCACATGTGCAACTTTTCTTGTCAAATTCTCAACCATGGCACTTGAAACATGTCGCAAGAAAATCACAAAGCTGCCAAGGCACACGCATGACGCCATAATGCGCATGCAAGCACAAATTCAGTGTTTTGCAGACCTGGTGCTCCCGTTACCGTATCGTCAAAAGTAAAAACTCCCAACTCCCCTGCATACTTAATTAAATATATATAATAGAAAATAAGTATATTATATATGTATATAAGCAATTGTTGTACGAGGCTGTTTCTCGAGCTGGAACTTTGGATATCTTGGATTTGATTGGATAAAGTTACTACTGCGGTGACATCGTCTGAGATGGCTCCGCATGAATCTCTTCCTTTTGTGACTGCACTAGGTTCCCCAATCTCGAAGCTTAAGAACTGTCTTGCAAAGTCAGAGCCTGCACGGCTTCGCCAAGTCTCGCTTGACAACGCTGATGCGCATGTGCGCGCACGCAAAGTAGGGGACAGTGCGACCAAGAGAACGCTCAAGAGGCAGATGGCAGATTCTTTTGCGCTCCTTACGATGTGCAGAACAAAGTCTGGAATTTCACAAGCCGCTGACCTGGTAGTTTCCAAGGTCACCCCATATCGACCTTGGAGGTGAAACGCTCCAATCGCTACGTCTAGAATCACAGACTGCGCGGCTCCTCTGCCTAAACCAGATGTGACCCGCTGAGTCTTTGCGGGTAGCAAATCCCAAGCTCACAGCTGGGGCAAGAAGCGTCATTGCAAACAGGTCAAGACATAGTTTCCAACAGTTGAGGTGTTGTTGGTTATTCTTGCGCACATACCGGAGAGACAACCAAGAATCTGCAATGACAACGGTGTTAAAGGTTGCACACATACAGAAATATAGGGTATTTCAGGTCAAACGTGCTGAATTGGCCAATTCCTTGTCTTTCAGCATGAGGTCGCCATGGTTGGCCAAGAAGGTAAACCATTTCATCCAGTGATCCGAATGCTGACATCAAGAATGTTTGCCACCATCCATGGATTATTGCTCGTCGTTGACCCCAAATCCTGGCCACCTCATGGAATCGCAAGGATGGCGGAAAAAATTGTGAAACGAGTCCCGACTGGCCTGAGGATGACAATTTTATTTTTTGATGTCCAACGTCTGAGAGGCTGATGAGGCTGCCAAACCAGGGGAAACTAACCAGTCGGCACAGGTGAAACTGGACTCGCTCTGAATCACCGTTCACCAACAGCAAAAATGTTACTCTTGAGGTCGGGCCCAAGAAAGAACCCCAATGCGCTGCACACAACCACCAGAGTGGTGATCCAGACCGACTGTCAAAAACACCTGTAATTGAGAGCTCCAATGAGATAAACAAGTACTGACACATCATGTCCGAAGTGGCAACTCGAACTCATAACAATCATACCAAGTCTTCAATGGCATGCTCTTCAAACCACCAATGCTAGGAAGTCCTACCAACCATGAGCAAGCAAAGTTTGATTCCGGTAATTCCATTCGGAGTTGCCATTGCAAAGGCACGCGCTGTACCGAAAAAGAAGGAGCATTCTAGACAGAACCTCTACGCCGAAGCTCGTAAGTCCATGACGACTCCAAAAGGCGATGGCACAGCCACCACGTGGCACTGTTCCATGACGAAGCCAGGTGGGATAGAATTGATTGGAATCGTCTGTGTCCTCAACTACTCGATCAAAACAATCAAGACTCTCACATATTCTCTATCTAGCTATCTATCTATCTCCCTCTCTCTCGCTCTCTCTTTCAACTTCCCTTGGGCACATGACATGCATCCTATCCTTGTCCCACCTGACCTTTCGTGTTTCTTTTTACCATCTTGCCTCTAGTGCTGCCAATTTACAGCTCTCGGATGCCTTCACGGGACCCAGCTTGCCATGCACCTCTAACACCGGGAGAGATTCACGTAGCTTGACCTGTTCCTTGATGGTCTGATTCAAATTCCTGGCACCGTATCACCTGCTGGTCGCCTTGATAATTTGTCCAGCATTTTGGCGCATGGCGTTCTAATTCGGCATCAACCCATATTAGGTGACCCTCGCCTACCCCAAAGAAACATGCAAACTGACGAGTTAATTTTCTGATCGTACAAGCATTTTAGTTGTGCGATGCAAGCTGATTTCTCGCTTTTTTGTTGAAGAAAGTCCCGGGGCCGCGGGGGTGGGTAGGCTGTAGAGACTACAGTAGGTAGCTAGTAGAAGTTCCGTCGCTACTAGCTACTTAAGCTACTACTAGCCAGGGCGCAGGATAGCTCACGCGTCTCATGATTTGTTTCCTAGGTTTTCAGGGAAACTTACAGTAAGCCAATATACTTGACGCCTGTCTTTGTCATTCCTTTCTTCCCTTGTTTTTCTGTTGGTTGTGCAAGCTGATTGATCGCTTCTTCAAAAGTACTACATCACAGGTAGCGAGGGATGCTCCACTTGCCGCTGGCAATTGAGATGCTCAATGCCAGCCCCAACAAGTTCCAATGATCCAGGGTCCCCAAATGCGCCCTGTCGCGCGGTTTTTTTCAGCCCAGTTGAGCTGCGATAATATTTATAGACCTGTCGTGAGTAGCCAACCATCCACCGCTTCTCAAAGGAAAGAAACTGAACTTCTGAATTGTGCTGGTCCGAATGATGCGACCCGTTTAGCTAGCAGCAAGCTTTACGGCTATGGTCGGATGTCCAAGACAGGTAGACCCACTTACCCGAAACAATTCAAAACGTCTTTTTATAGTTTTTGCAAGCGTTCTGCCATCTGTGCCAACACCACCCTCAACCTGTGGGCGAGCAAATCACGATGAGAGCACAAATGTACAGTAATAGAATTGTGTTTGTATGATGTGTTCTACAACTCTGGAAACTACTCTTGCTGCCCTTCCCACAGCTAGAGGGAAGTGAGCAGAAGCTGCCGTTTCATGTCACGTTGCCAAGCTGACCATTTAGCAAGATCATTGCCGATGGAAGGCCTCTTGCCAAAGATCATGGTTCGACATTCTTTTCGACTGGCCCTTGAGTCAGCTTGAGCCGCCTACCACTATCGGCCGACAAGACAACATCCAGCTTGGCGCAAGGCAGCACGTCCTTTAGCGACGTCTGCTAATTTACGCGGGAGGGCAAACAAAAAGACTTTTTTTTGAAGGTTCACTGGTCATGTACCGCGTGATGATGACCAGCATGGGCTGCTGGAATCCAGCGCCGAGGTCGAGTTTTGGACCTCAACCCAAACTGAATCATCTTGAAGATCCACATGAAAACATATGAAAACCACCTCTTTCAATTCAACACCAATTCCACCAGCATTCCCCGTTCGGCATGTTGTAGTCACTGTATGGCACCAAATTGAGGCACTGGCTGGTCCGAAGGGTCGGTGCCCCTTACCGGGAAGGAGTTCCGGCCTAGCTTACAGGGCGGCCTAGCTTCACAAACATCGTCTTTAAGCGACTGTGTTCTTGGTCGATACCATCGACGTTTCATGCCCAAAGGAAACAATGCACCCGCTTTTTTCCTGATTATGTAATGACTGCCGGTCCTCAAGGTCTCGCTCGCCTTTGGCCTTTGGCGGATTGCATGTTCATCATGTGTCACCCATCAAACCGCCTGAAGGACCACCGGTACAAAATTCACGGAGAAGCCACCGTCAATCCCCTCGCCAGGCCAGCTCACGTTCTCTCAACAAAGTTGTTCAATGATGTTCAATGTTTTTGTTCATGGCCGCTATGCTCACTTCCAAGAATGGCCCAAAAAGCAAGACAGCAGTGTCGCCTGTGAGGGGCTCCCCTCTCCAATTTCAAGTAATTCACCTTGAAATAAGGGATGCGTTGAGATCTCCGCAGCTCATGTGATATCCTGAGGGAGCCGCAGAGCTCTTCAATTCTGGCAAGGCTCACAGGTCCTGGCCAATAATCTCCAGGACGATTCAATGTTACGGCTCGTCAAAAAGTGGAAAGTCTATATAGCTGCCAGACAGCGAATGACAGCAGCAGGGAAATTTGGAAGGCCTTTTCACATAGCAATCGGATCAATCAGTGCGTAGAAAAATTAGGCATGCACTGGCAGGAAACATTCGGGGGTGTGGGGGGGGCACGCTTTGATTCTGCTTTTCTTGTACTAGTAGCGGCAGGCAGCTGGGTTGCCCGGCCGCCCAGTCGCAAGGGTTTGCGACACAGGTTTCTGCGAAACCTGCAGTGACCGTCTTCAACCAAGACCAGGGAAAAATGAAGCAGAATCCTCTTTTAAGTTCGGTCAGGTCTCACCTGAAAACCGCAGCCAAACTGCTACCACTACCACGCCGTCATGTGCAAAATGATCCATCTGGAAACTTTGTTATGTCCATCTTTTACTAACAGTATTCATTTAGTGTGGGTAGGGAACAAACCAGGCTCAGTTCCAACTGGCACAGCTTCGGCCAGGCTCAGGACTGTTCGAGAAGACTCGCTGGGCCTTGGAAGGGTAAGAGGAGCTCGAAAAACACAAGCAAATCGTTTCAAATTCTAGTCAAGTCCAGACTCAAAAGGCTGTTCAGGAAAGGGTATTCGAAGGTATTGATATACAAAAGCTCTCTCTCTATTAGATGTATTCCAAAGGTTTACATAGATGTTGCGGCAAAGCTCCGGTGAATGGTCTGGACAGAACCCAATGCAGCACGACAATGCATTGCCTTTGTGCTCAATCACATTCAATTACACCGGTGAAAACTAACATTTTCGCCAAAACAAAATTGGGGGGGGGCATATGTTAGTCTAGTTTCCGAGCGGACACCGTTGAGACTAACCTAGACTAAATTCAGATGTGCCATGGTGGGCCCTACGGGTACTTGGCATGGTCCATGTTAGCCGCCTCCACCGGGCTATGCTGACCTCTAAGGCGCGGTCTATGTTAGCCTGCGTTCAGTTTATATATAGTCAGATTTGCAGTTGGTCCATGTTAGTGTCAAAATCGATCATGTAGACTGAGAGTGGGAACGGTCCATGTTAGTGAGGGTCCAGAAATTGCCAAAAACAGCGCTAATACCGTTTCCCCAGGAAGTCACCGTTTCCAGTGGTCCATGTTAAAGCGCACTTGAAATTGAGTTCTGGTCTATGTTGTTTTTCCGCGGAGTACCTGCATTGGCCTGTGTTGGCTTTCTTGAACAGGTTTGGGCAACCGTAGGATTCGCGACTTCTCATGTTATACGAGAATGAAGCAGTTCCCCCAGACTTCCAGCCTACAGTTCTTTCTTCGCGATCCTTCATGCATCGTCCAGGTCCCGGACTGATTGGCAGCTCGGCCTTTGGCCCCTTGCCATGGACACTATTTGCACCTCCGCCGATGCCAGAGCTCGATGGCCCCAAACGGACCTTCAGTGGGAAGTGTGCGGACCTGAGCCAATGCTCAGCCAGGCTCAAACTCTGTTGGATTCGCTGACGTGACATGAAAACAAACCCAACAGCAAATCCATGCAAATCCATTGGCCCACAATGTCCATGGCAGCAACTTCAGCCGCAAAGTGCTTAAGCTCCGCACACCCCTGGCTGGCTTCCGGAGAAAAGGCCTCGCCTCGGCGCAACACAAAACCTGGACTGGATGTGTGGTGGATCTGCAATCATGCGTTGGCCATCCAAGGTTCCAGGGATTGGTCGACTCTTCCGAAGATTGGTGATTGGATTTGATTGGTGATTGGTCTTTGCTAACTCAACTACACTTCAGCAAGTCCGTTTACTGCTTTTGTTCCCCCACGTTGGAAGCCCGGAGGTTTCCAGCTCCCTGCTGTCCAGGCAAACCAGCGTGGAGCCTAGGCTCGTGGACACTGGACAAGCCAAGAGCTTCCGCAATTCCAATCGGCCCCCTCGGACTGAATGCCAAATCCATCCGATTTCACTGCGCTGGGCAAACTGCCAAAAGCGTCCATGATGGTTAAGCTGAATGCAACTAGCTCCTCCTGCCATGTTTGTGGTGACTGTGGCACAATATCTTACACAAAACAAGTGCAGCCCGTGCAGCAGGCCTGAGGTATGCTGGCTTCCTCAATTTCGCAGAGGGCCTCTGCCACACACAGCCAATTTGTCAACCGGGTGTAGCTCTCTGAGCAACGAGTTCAGTAGCTCTCTGAAACACCCAGTTCCGTCTCTGTGCCTGCTCCAACTTCTTATCAAATACATCTACCCAATCCTCCGAATATGCCAGCCTCACCAATACGTGTCTGAGGCAAAAAAATTGACTTGTGCACTTGCACTATTGCGTGACTCGGCTACGGTTACCAAACAATCATTGGCACCGCCTGGCATCGCCACTGAGGCACACGCTCGAACTCTACACCAGCAGTTCGAATCTGTGCCTACGGATTGGAGAGGCTACTTTGCAGGGCTTTGCATCGCCTGAAGCTTCCCCGGCCTCCTTTTTGGGAGACAAAGGCTCTGTGGTCACGGCCTGGCTTCTGCCCCCTCTGGGGACTTGGAAAGGGGTCATCTTAATATCAAATGCCGGTGAATTGGAATGAGGAGCCTTGCTGTCTGGCACATGGAATGGCACCGGCCTCATGCCAAAGAGATGTAGCAACTCAAGGAAAGTCGGGGATGCAGTTTCAAATGCTCAGCACAAAGTGTGCCAAAAAATCTGCACAAAGTGTTGCCACTCACCTGTGTTATGAGATGAGTCAACGATCGACCTGCACGGCAACTCCAATGACACAGCCAAACACCCGAGAAGGTCACGTGGCTCTGCCGGCTTGATGCCTGGACTATTCAGGTGCATTGCCCTGAATAATTAATGCGGGTTCTTGCGCATGATACTGCATACCCCTTTTCAGAGACAAAAGTCAATGAGAACCTGACTGTATCTTGTTTTCATTAATATGATTTCACTAGGTGCCCGCGCGGCTCGTCAGCCTAGCTTGGACAACTGAGGCTAGCGGCTAGTTAGTTCTGTGCGCAACCACGCCATGCAAAGAGCTTCCGCACCCAATAGAAATGACGCACTACAGGATCTAACACTTGGCCTTCACTGCCCCCGTCTTGTGCAAAAACAAGGCAACGATGATCAACTGCATTAATTTATATCTCAACATTGTATCCAAACAGTTTTCCCAGAAGGTTTCTGATTGAATTGTTTAAAAAATACAAAAAAAAAAAAAAAAAACATCAAAAACCACCGGGTTTGCCACGTAATTTGACGAGCCTCGGTGCGCCGCCGGCACCTGGCAGGGGTGGCCTCGGCCTGGAAAGGAACCAGCAATCTGCAAACCTCTCCAACCTCCAGTCATTCGAGATCACCACGAGGCTGATGAACTGAACTTCGCTCCTTTTCCGCACTCCGCCAGACGAAGCGCAGGATCTAAGGTGGTGGCAACGACGCATTCCTTCGAACAAACAACGGATTTCCTCTCAAACTCTAGCAACCGCGAAATTGCCAATGGGCCAGTATCAGACCGGCACATGCCGAATTTCAGGCTTGGAGATCATTTGGTGAAAGCATATTCTACTGCCGCGCAGCCAAGCAGCCGCTAACTCTCCGGGGACAAAGGCCCTCCGAATCTCTAGGCTCTATATTTATATCTATACAAGTTAAAAAGTCTACATGCTATGTACTGCAATTTCTGTAATGATAACTTATACCTGCCATTCTCTCGAATGCAAAGCGACTGCTGCCGCCATTCGAACGGCAACGTGCACAAGTCCAAGTCCAAGTTCAGTGCAAGCCAACTTATGGTCGAATTACACGCAGAGGGATCATCAACACCCAACCGCTGAAACCTGCTGAAACCTGCGAAGGACCTCCATGGTCTTTCAAAGACATGGCCTTCCCTCTGCGCCAAAAAACTCCTCAGCTTGTAAGCTGTCTAAATCTCAGAGCCGTGCCTGGCCAATCGCAAACCGACAATCCCAAGCCTCACAGAGCCTCACAGGCCTCAAAATAGAAGGAGAAAACCGAGATCCAAAAGAGGCAGGTTTTAAAAGAGGCCTTACAGCACCTCCCTGTTGTCATCTCCTCCGTCTGCTTTGAAAGTGAATGAGAGACAGAGTGCTGGCTGGCTGTTGCAGTTTGTTCCTGCCTACACACAGTCAGCGCCTTTCACGCCGTTGCATAATTCACCAGCCTGAGAAAATACAGGGCAACAAAGACTTGGGACACAGCCTGTCAAGCATGTAGAAAAATTACGCGTGCTGCCACATTGATGGCAACAAGCTCTTGGGCACCCCTCGTGCAGGGCCATCAGAAAAGTAGCTCCACATGTCCTGCCATGACAGCCAAGCTGCCAACCACCTCTTCAGAGAACTGCAGTAGTTTGCGATTATAGCCATGAAACCTCTGAGAACACCTTATTCCGGAACTCTTTCCGTGGCCCAGTCCTGTGAGAAGAATGACTGGAAGGGGTCCGATGCTGAATATGAGCGTGTGGACCTGACTCAATATTGCGCCCTGTGGACATGCTTTAAGAAGTGCTTGCAGGAACTGCGCAGCGGAGAAGGTCAGCCTTCAGTGCCTTCCCTTCTTGCGGTAAGTTGTGCTAAGCTGGAGACAGGAATCTAGATTTTTACAGCTACATATAGAAGCATACAGACACAAACATATATCCGCCGACCCCGGCCGAAGTAAGGGGGAGCGCGCAAGGGAACCTGGCTTGCTTCCGCTGTGGCGGAATCGGCCGTCTGGGGGCTTTGGGGCCGTGAGAACGAAGTGGATTTCTTTCTTTCGAGTGGCTTTGGGGTCGTGAGAACGAAGTGGGTTTCTTTCTTTGGAGTTCTTAGTTTCTAGAGGTTTTCTTTTGTTTATGGCGCTTTCGGAGGCTGGAGTGCGTGAAAAAGACGTGGTTTTCGTGAAAAAGATGTGGTTTTCTCTGTTTCTTGAGGGTGTCAGACGCGGCGTTAGTTGCGCTGTGGCGGAGTCGGCCTTGTCTGGCGCTCTTGGAGGGTGGAATGCGTGAAAAAGACGTGGTTTTCTCTGTTTCTCGAGGGTTTCAGACCTGCCGTTAGTCGCGGCGGAATCGGCCTTGTCGGGCGCTCTCAGAGGGTGGAATGCGTGAAAAAGACGTGGTTTTCTCTGTTTCTTGAAGGTTTCAGACCCGCCGTTAGTTGCGCTGTGGCGGAATCGGC